GTATGCTTGGCAAATTTAATGTCAATATTTAAGTCAATAGGATGTGTAACCACCTCTCTTCCGGTACAGTTCCATAACACGGCGTCTCATACTCTGTACAAGCTTTCTGAACTTTAGTTGAGCAAATTTATTCCATTCATCAACAATTGGCCGTCTTAAATCGCCAAGATTTTGCAAAGGTGGATCTCTGCGATTGAGATTTCTGCCAATGGCATCCCAGACATGTTCGATAGGGTTCAGGTCTAGAGACATGGAAGGCCAAAAGATAGTGTCAATGGCTTCTTGACTTTTGTAATCGGTTATAATCCTTGCCCTGTGTGATCTAGCGTTGTCGTCCATGTACGAGGGCCTTGACGCAAGTTGGGGATTCTCAAAATGAGGGACTACAATGTTTCTAAGCACCAAATCCCTGTATGTCTGTCTGTTCATGTTACCCTGCAAAATATGCATACCCAGCTTACAACAGTATGAGAGGAAACCCAATACTGTAACACCACCATCAACGATTGCTGTCGTTCGGCAATTGTTGTTTTGGTGATAGGCAGTTTTATTTCCCCGCCACACTCGTATTCTGCCGTCTATTGGTCGTAATAGAAACCAACACTCATCTGACCAATGAATATTTTGCCAGGTTCTTATGTCCATCGTCGATGGTCATTAGCCCTTTGAAACCTGAGTGTACGGTGCCTGGCTGTTAGGGCACGTCTTTTGACAACACGACTTGCTCTTAGGTAGCCTCTATGAAGTCGACGGACTAATGTTCGAACACAAACACGACCACCTAGAGGCCAGTGGTGTCTAAACTATGGGGTAGGCGTAAATGGGTTGTCTTTAGCACGACCAATAAGTAGTCTGTCATCACGATAGGTAGTTAAACGGGGTCTTCCGGACCTTGGTCTATCATTTACAGTTCCTGTGTCAATATGACGTTGTAAAGTTCTAACAATGACGGTGCGGTTAACATTAAAATGGTTACCAATGTTCCTAGTGCTCCTACCGGCATTTGACATGTCAATTGCTTGTCAACGTTCAGTCACAGATAACTTACCGCTTGCCATATTTCACAGTGACTTGGTGAAGGTCAAATTTCACCTGTACGCGGGACAGTAGGAAGATGATTTAAAGGCATCGAAACAGTGTATTTGTAAAAGTGCAGATGACCTTTAATAAAAAGTTGCTTGGCGGGTATATCTGGGTTTAATTTTTTTGGTCGTAACGAATTTTCTTAGTGTATGCTATAGGCAATTCATAACACTAAACATAAATATTTTTTTCGCAATAGTTAAAAAAATATTGACAGTTATATTTAGGTGGTGCTTAACTTTTGGCGGACTGTATATATCTGGGGTATGTAAATATTTTACGCTGTACATGTTAGTCTGGCAGGTTTTATTTTACCTTGACCTCATTTTCACGGTTCATTGCTCAATGTTAAGTTTTTGTGTTTTGGTCTGTTTTCTTCTACTGTATGCATTAGGTCAACTATATTTGTTGTATGTAAATATTTTACGATGTACATGTCAGTCTGGCAGGTTTTATTTGACCTTGACCTCATATTCATGGATCATTGCTCAATGTAAAGTTATTAGTGTTTTGGTCTGTTTTTCTTAAACTTTAAGCAATAGGTCAACTGTATTTGGTGTATGGAATGATTGTAAGGTATATATAGATATAAGAAGATGTGGTATGAGTGCCAATGAGACAACTCTCCATCCAAGTCACAATTTATAAAAGTAAACCATTATAGGTCACAGTACGGCCTTCAACACGGAGCCTTGGCTCACACCGAACAGTAAGCTATAAAGGGCCCCAAAACATTACTAGTGTAAAACCATTCAAACGGGAAAACCAACGGTATAATCTATATAAAAAACGAGAAACGAGAAACACTTATGAACCACATCAACAAACGACAACTACTGAACATCAGATTCCTGACTTAGGACAGGTGCAAACAAATGCAGCGGGTTTAAACGTTTTATATATGTCTGTCTGGCAATATCATCTGACCTTCACCTCATTTTCATGGTTCATTGGTCAATGCTCAGTTTTCCTGATTAACTTTGTTTCTTAGATACTATAAGCAATAGGTCAACTATATTTGATGCATGGAATGATTTTAAGGTGTACATGTCTGTCTGGTGGGGTTCATCTGCCCTTGATCTCATTTTCATGGTTCATTGGTCAATATAAAATTTCCATGGTTTGGTCGGTTTCTTTTACACTACAGCAATAGGTCATCTATATTATGTGTATGGAAATATTATATTAAAGGTGTAGATGTATTTCCGCCTTGGTTTATCTGACATTGACCTCATTTTCTTGGATCATAAATGTTAATGTGATACTTGTAGTAAAACTTTATATTTAGGACTATCATCATAAAACCAATGGTCAGTATAGCAGGCGAGACATATCAGAGTGTGCACTCTTGTTTTTAAAAACATGAATTGTATTTTAATTGAATTATTATATTTAAAGCACTTTTGTAAACAAAATTTATTCTGAAAAAAAAACCAATCATGATCATATAATTGTTAAGAAAACAATTTGTCAAAGCAGCTTGGTAATTAAATGGCTTCATGGTGTAAAGAAATACATTCCTTTGAATGTTTAAAATTTGATAAATCTTCATTTATCAAGGCTTATGGACGATTTCCCTAAATGTAAAAGAAATATATGTAGTAAAAAGATATTATTTCAAGAACTTTCTTTTATACATTCAAACAATTCTAAACAAATTATTTGTGACTTTTTGTCCTATCAAATCTGTGACTTTCTGTCCTGTGACTTTTTGTCCTGTGACTTTTTGTCCTGTGACTTTCTCTCCTCTGACTCTTTGTCCTGTGACTTTCTGTCCTGTGACAATTGTCCTGTGACTTTCTGTCCTGTGGCTTTTTGTCCTGTGACTTTTTGTCCTGTGACTTTTTGTCCTGTGACTTTTTGTCCTGTGACTTTCTGTCCTGTGACAATTTTCCTGTGACTTTCTGTTCCTTTACCATATTTTTATAAGACAGTATACAGTATTATTGCATAGCAATATAATATTTCCCACAGAAAGTAACCAAAAGGTAGCGTGCAATAAATTCTAATATTGCACTAGTGCAATAAATCTTCAAAATTGATGACGTCATCAACGACAAAATCTTAGTTAAAACCAATTTTTACTTTCAAATATTATATTGCTATACAATAAAAGGGTATATCGTAGAACATATATTGCACTCGCAAGCTAGTGCAATATAAAATTCTACTCGGGACAATATTCCCCAATATTCATGCAATAACCCGATATTACAGTATTACATAAGGGATGTATATTGGACCATCGGACTACTGAACTACGGAATTTTGGGTTGTCGGATTATAGCTACGCTTCCGTAGGTTCTAGTAAACTATTTGATTACCAAGAAATGACAAGTTTGAATTATATCATAAATACTCTTATGACTTCTGTTTCTATCTTTTATGTTTCTCTTTTATTCTAATACATAACTGTTCATCATGTGTCCATGTAAAATTTCAATTAATGTAAGAAATCAAAAGATTTTGAAAAAAATGTCTTATATTGACTTGCACACTATGATAATTTATTTTTTGAAGACCATTTTTGTATTTTTCTAATAAACTATCATATATATAAAACTATCTTTTTTTAGAAATATTGTACATCTTTTATTGTTAAGAAAAAAGTAAAATAACAAAAATACCAACCTCAAAGGAAAATTCAAAACGGAAAGTCCCTTATCAAATGGCAAAATTAAAACTCAAACACATCAAACGAATGGAAAACAACTGTCATAATCCTGACTTGGTACAGGCATTTCCTTATGTGGAGAATGGTGGATTGAACCTGGTTTTATAGCTAGCTAAACCTCTCACTTGTATGATTTTTTGAAATAATAATAAGCTTTCAAAGCATCTTGTTAGGATGTAGGACAGAAATTAACAGTACAAGTTACATTATAGTTTTGAGATAAGTTTGACCTTAAAGAAGATATACATCCTTCTGGTAAAGATCACCCTTCATATAACCATGCTAATCAACAATTTCATAAAATTCAATATATAACGGTTTTTGTCACCCTTTGGGAACATGTGAGAACACATATTGGAGAAGGCTTTTAAATGTTGAAGTACACTGAATACATGGAATATGCACCCTTTTTCATATATATCATAAATTTTTCTCTTCAGACTTCATGGCCATTAAAAGAAAATAAGTAGACAAAAGAGCACAGGAACCAAAAGAATGTCTTACAAAGAAAATACAGCTGAGTCCATGGTTATCTCCCTTCATAATTCTAATTCCCAAGAACATATCAGCTCTCCTGTTAAAAGGAATGATTATGCATGTAAAGTGTGCAGTAAATGGTGGAATAATATTGCAGAGTTAGAAGATCATATGCAAACACATGATTCAGAGTTAGAGAAACATATGCAAACACATGATTCAGAGTTAGAGAAACATATGCAAACACATGATTCAGAGTTAGAGAAACATATGATAACACACACAGGAGATAAGATGTTTAAATATGATATATGTTATGAAGGATTTAGTAACATACATCAGTTAAAGATACACAGGAGAACACATACTGATGATAAACCATACACATGTGAAGTATGTGGTAAAGACGAATCGTTACTTACAGAGGCACAAGAGAACACATACTGGAGAAAAACCTTATCAATGTACTGTATGTGCTAAATGGTTTAGTCAACCATGGACATTAAAAGATCATATGAGAATACATACCGGAGACACACCTTATACATGTGATGTATGTGGTAAAGGATTTAGTCAGCATGGTTCCTTGTATACACACATGACAACACACATTGTTGATAAACCTTATAAATGTGAGGATTGTGGTAGAGAATTTAGTCACAGTCAAAATTTACAGACACACATGAGAACACATACTGGTGACAAACCTTATAAATGTGATGTATGTTGTAAACGATTTAGTCAGCATGGATCCTTATATACACACATGACAACACACACTGTCGATAAACCTTATAAATGTGAGGATTGTGGTAGAGGATTTAGTCAAAGTCAAAATTTAAAGAGACACATAAGAACACACGCTGGTGATAAACCACATAAATACATTAGAAAACACACTGCTCATAAAGTTCATGAATGTGGTGTATGTGGTAAAGCGTTTAGTAAGATTCACAACTTACAGTCACACATGAGAATACACACTGGTGAAAAACCTTATAAATGCGATGTATGTGGTAAAGGATTTAGTCAGCATGGTTCCTTATATACACACATGACAACACACACTGTCGATAAACCTTATAAATGTGAGGATTGTGGTAGAGGATTTAGTCAAAGTCAAAATTTACAGAGACACATAAGAACACACGCTGGTGATAAACCACATAAATACATTAGAAAACACACTGCTGATAAAGTTCATGAATGTGGTGTATGTGGTAAAGCGTTTAGTAAGATTCAAAACTTACAGTCACACATGAGAATACACACTGGTGAAAAACCTTATAAATGCGATGTATGTGGTAAAAGATTTAGTCAGCATGGTTCCTTATATACACACATGAAAACACACATTGTCGATAAACCTTATAAATGTGAGGATTGTGGTAGAGGATTTAGCCAGAATCAAAGTTTACAGAAACACATGAGAACACATGCTCGTGATAAACGTCATACATGTGCTGTATGTGGAAAAGGGATAAGTAAGCTTCGAAACTTACAGTCACACATGAGAACACACACTGGTGAAAAACCTTTCAAATGTGATGTATGTGGTAAACAGTTTAGTCAGCATGGTAACTTATATACACACATGACAACACACACTGTCGATAAACCTTATAAATGTGAGGATTGTGGTAGAGGATTTAGTCAAAGTCAAAATTTACAGAGACACATAAGAACACACGCTGGTGATAAACCACATAAATACATGAGAAAACACACTGCTCATAAAGTTCATGAATGTGGTGTATGTGGTAAAGCGTTTAGTAAGATTCAAAACTTACAGTCACACATGAGAATACACACTGGTGAAAAACCTTATAAATGCGATGTATGTAGTAAAAGATTTAGTCAGCATGGTTCCTTATATACACACATGAAAACACACATTGTCGATTAACCTTATAAATGTGAGGATTGTGGTAGAGGATTTAGCCAGAGTCAAAGTTTACAGACACACATGAGAACACATGCTCGTGATAAACGTCCTACATGTGCTGTATGTGGAAAAGGGATAAGTAAAATTCGCAACTTACAGTCACACATGAGAACACACACTGGTGAAAAACCTTTCAAATGTGATGTATGTGGTAAACGGTTTAGTCAGCATAGTAACTTATATACACACATGAAAACACATCAGAGCACATACTCTTGATAAATCTTGTAAAATGGATATGTGTGGTGAAGAGTACAGTCAGAGTAAAGGTGAATTAACACACATGTGAGCATGTGATAAACCTGACAAAATCTAAGGACAGTAAACATGGTAAAGAGTTAATGGAGGAAATAATTACTGAGAATAACACGAGAGGACACACACGGTAGGGTTTTAGTCAGGTACACAACTTGCAGCCATGTGCATGCTTGATATAACATAAACATAATAATTGACTGTAAATGTGGAAACAAGATTTAATTTTTCAAATGTATATATTAAACACATGTTTAATGAATGTTTGAGACTTGAAAAGAAGTAAGAACATTTTTTTAAAACCAAATGCCATGTAATTCTATAAAAAATAGATGTATACTTACAAATGCTTTATGTATAATAAAAATTTGAGTTCTTCCTTTTTTCTAGTTATTAGTATTACCAAGATTTTAATTTTTATCGAATGTAATTGTGCCAAGTACGTAATTAAGGTTTATGTATACTCATTACTGGGACAATCTTGATCATGTTAATAATGTTAGCATTATACAGTATACTATGACCGCATAAAGCGTATTGCTAACTGTGAGCATGGAAATATTATATATCAAATTTCCATGATTTGAGTAACATAGTCTTACACTATATCCTCTTATCTGTGTCAAAGACAAAATCACATACAAAGACAAACGAACAATTAAACCTCTCCTTAAACAAGATAAAGTCCTTTCACCGATTTGTTACCGTCTCCTCTGAGACGGTATTATGAGTTGAACGGAGGACAGTCTTTGTAATGAATGCTATCTTTTTCCTGATTGGAAGATAATGCCGACTGAAGAAGAACCAGTATAATCCAGTCGTCTTTGTTTACTGAATGAAGTATGTTCATTGGTTTAGAAAATTGAACCAAGTAAATGTCTTCTAAATCCCGCAAGGTATCAGATTTGAACTCTTTATTTTATTACTATCTTCATTTCCACCAATCTTGACTTATTTTACACGATTTCATTGTTTCTAGACCAATAAAATATGTCTAAAAATAGAAATAGAAAAAAAAGTATATTTGTTGCGTTAGAATGGTTGGAAGTTCGTCGCTATATTTGTCTTTTATCTGCCGGAAACAGCCGAGTCCTCACGATATGCTAATTTTCGCGCGCTTTTCATCAATCTATGTTGACAGCAAACAGATAACACGTTTTTTGGTAAAAAAGAAAGAAGAAATAACAAGCAAAACTGTTAATCATGCGGCGTTTCACGCTAGGAAATATACATCAATCGTCCAGCTTGATTGTTATGGTAAAGGATATCAATGCACAAAAATTGCTGCAGTTGCAATATTTGCATTTTTATCTGGCGGGTTTTCCCAACCTGAGAGATGGACCCCAGAAAATATTGATCAAATAGTGTTAAATGGAAGCATGTTATATGATAATATTATGCACCGTCAAAAACCCAGATATTTAGCACATTCGGACATCCCAAATTATCTCGAAATGTGGAACATAATATACGAAACGACTGTTCATGATGACATTTTTTATGGGTTAGTTGGTCAACAAGGTAACTATGAGTCATTGGCGATAGATATCCGAACAGCATTACAAGAAGCTTTGCACGAGATCAAGATGCAGACCCTATTTGTAGTTTAGAGATCAATAAGATTCTGCATGAGTCCCAAAAGGTTTTAAATGTCCTGACACTACTTGTAGTTTAGAGATCAATAAAATGCATGTATCACAGTCACCCAATCAAATCATTGATTACCATGATTACACAGCTGAGCCAATAAATAGTTCTAATGAGCATTCAAACGCAAAACCACAGTTTGAAAATAGCAGTACTGAATACATGTATTGCAATCATGAAAATGTGAAACACTTTCGGCATATGGATGATCATAACTATTATGTTACATCAGAAAAGGCAGAAAAATTTAAATTTCAGGGAGATAATAATATGTCTCAGTCAACAAATTTAAATCAAACCATTTATTACACAGGTGAGCCTATAAATGATGTTATGCTTTTAGATCCACAATCACAGTTTGAAAATAGCAGTATGTCTTAGTCAACAAATTTAAATCAAACCATTTATTACACAGCTGAGCCTATAAATGATGTTATGCTTTTAGATCCACAATCACAGTTTGAAAATAGCAGTATTAATAATGGTGATTAAGAATTAAAATTGCAATCAGATATTTGTCCCAACATACATGTACCAGACTCTGCATTACAAAATTTTGTTAATCATGTTTGTGACCCAAAACTTCAGTTATGTTATGATCGTGAAACATGCACGAATAGTATCTCAACTAAAAAAAATGAACATGTAAACTGCTTTTTAAAGCATTTAGATGATCATAATTATTATATCACACCAGAAAATGCAAAGAAGTTGAAACAAAAGAAAACAAATTTCAAGTGTGATAGCTTTGTATTTGTTGAAGAAAATTTTGATTGTGAAGTAGTTGAATCAGGTATGTCATTTGATTTAAGGTGGTACCTAACACTACAGAGAGATAACTCTGTAAAATCAGCTAAATGTTTTAATTACGTTGTATTGTTAGGGAAATATTAAGCTTCTCAATGATCAAAATTAGTGTTTGTCAAACTGCTATATAACCAATGAAATTTTTCTGATAAAGTGGTTGGTTCAAATTTTTTGAAATTTTTATATTTTTGTCAAAGGGTCAAAGTAAACATTTTGTCAAAATTTTATGAAAATTAAACGAGCCAAATTAATATTAGTCAAGGTGTTGGGTACCACCTTAAATCAGAACTGTCTAAGACAAATAGAGGAAATTCCACACTTTACTTGCTGCTCATGTGACCGTTTCTTATTTCAAAATCAAGTGTTTTATTTTAAGAAAAGTTTTGATTTGTTACGCATAAGCGAAAGTGACATATTATGCCAGTTTTGTAATAGATATCTAAGAAAATCTCAGATTCCTTACAGAAATATGAACTATTTTAATAATTTACAAACAGGAAATATACCGAGAGAATTGCAACATTTAGACATAGTAGAAAAACGTCGTATAAGCAAAATAAATACTTTCTTTACATTGATTGTATTGCCTTGTTATCCAGTAGGTCAGCTTGCAAAGAAAGGTTTTGCGATTCATTTTTTAACAGATATTTCTCACGTTGCATCCAAGCTACCTAGAAAATCAAACGATAACAGTTTAGTTTGCTTTTCAGGGACTTCAGCTAAGGAAAGTGTATTACCATATAATTCAGCAAAAGTTAAAAAGGCTTTGGAATGGTTGATTGACAATAACTTCTTATATCGTGATATCATTCTTTCTGAAAGCAACCAGTTTCATGCTAGTACTTTGAATAACCACAATTTTGATACAATACTTGAATATGGAGTTATACCCAATGATTACGCTTATAATATTAATGCATCAAACATGTCAGATGTCAATTCAGATTTTAAACCCCTGCAGGTAAATGTTGATCCAAAACCTGTTAATTTTCTATCTTTTAAGAAGGGAGAAGAATTAGCATTTCCATGGTTATTTCCATATGGAAAAGGAGGCTATGATACAGGAAGAATAAAAAAAGTTAACTCTTTGTCAATATTACAAAATCAGACTTTATTCAGCTACAGCAGTATGGCGAACGGATATGACATATTTAATGCATGCTGTGAATACTTATGAAAAAAATCATCTTTCTCAGTTAATATCTGTTTACATGAAAGTTCATAAGGGAAATAATTTTACTAGTCCTTTGTTGTCCGCATCATATTTACAGTCTTGCAATTCAAGTATATTAAGGGAAAATTCTTATATGTTCATGAAAAGATTAGAGGAACGGCAGCATACTGGAAAAATACATTGCTTAACTTGCTTGCTATGATCAGAAACATTGGTCCTCCTACATTATTCTTAACATTATCTTCAAATGACTATCATTGGGAAGAGCTTGCAATGACACTTCAGCTCTGTAACAAAGTAGAGGCTATAAATATTAAATCACTACCGAATGATCTAAAGCAAGATCCTTTAATGACAGCCATTCACTTTGACATAAAAGGGAGAGCTCTATTTAAATATGTATTAAAAAGGGTCTTCACAACCACTTGGTGAAATCACTGACCACTTCATACGTGTAGAATTTCAGGCAAGAGGTAGCCCTCATTTGCACTTATTTTTATGGATTAAAGACGCTCCATCATTTGAAACTGCAAAAACTGAGAATATAATGACCGCATATATTGACAAAGTAATTTCCACAACTATTCAAGATGAAAGTAAGTTCCCTAATATGCATAATTTGGTAAAAAAATTTACAAAGTCATTCTCACAGAAGGTATTGTCAGCGAAGATGTAAATGTCGTTTTAACTTTCCATATAAATCTTGTGAGAGAACTTGTCTTCTCTCTGCTGTAGAATTGGGACTCAATCAAAAGAAAGAGTTTTATGAAACAAAACGATCAAGTTCTGATACAATGATAAATCCGTATAATCCTATTATATTGCAACATTGGAAGGCAAATATGGATATTCAGATGGTTGGTGGCCCTTATGGGATAGCTTGTTATATTTGTAGTTACATTTGTAAATCAGAACCTGACACACTTAGAAATGCTTTATCGCACCTTTTATCAAGTTAACGTGTGCAGCAAACACCTAAACATATACGTGAAAGGATGTTTACTGTCGGCATGTGTGTTTTAAAGCATCGAAATCTGTCTGCCCAAGAAGTTGCTTATCGTCTCAGTGATTTAGATTTTACATCAAGTACTAGAGAAACTGTGCACTTGTCAGCCTTACCCCCTTACAAAAAATACAGAAAATTGAAAACAAAACATGAAATTGAGGCACTGAACCCTGATAGTACTAATATATTTATGTCAAATATTATTGATGATTACCACAATATACCTCAATGTTTGGAAAACATATGTTTGTTTCTTTATGCCAAGTGTTATAAAAAACAGTATTCTAAATCCAAAAAAGATCAGCTTCATATGAAATTGTTAAATTCCTGTTATTTTTTAAGAGAAAGAACTAAACATGCTGTTGTTAAACTACACCTAGGTGCCTTTAATTCTCATGACTACTATTACGGTTTAATTTTGCTTTACTTTCCTCATCGCAGCTACTTTGACATTTTAGGGCATTTTGAGGATTCAAGGTTGTCCTTTCTACAAAAAAATGAAAAATTTGATAAAATTGCTTTAGAATCATGTTACTCAAGTCCTTCAATTGATAATGCTTTAAGAGCTGTTCAGTTAGCACAGCTACCAGAATACTGTGATAATGTTTTGCCTGAAGATGTTGGTTTACATGAAAATAAACAGATTTCTC